ATGTATAATGTATATGTACCTGCTATCACAGTTTGCACTCATTAAAATATTGAATCTCACAATCGAGATATTTTTTCCAATGTATTTAAGAGTACCTGTTTTTCCAATTTACTTAAGTGGTCTTTCTCTCTATCGAACTTTTTCATATAAGTCACAAAACCGACACTTTCCCCCTGAAAAGTATGGCTTTTAAGAACTTTTAACACGTTTAAGGTATTAGCATTTATAAATATTTGGCTCTGTTTCATTAGATAAAAAGAAAACAAATGTGTAACACCTACATGTTTTTTGCTTTTCATTTCTACTGTCTAAATTCCCTTTTTGCCATATTATCTGATACCTTATTATATCTGCTTAAATAATGGTCTGTTATTTGACAATATTGTATGAACAACATCTGGAAGAAATCTATGTTGAGGAGGTCCTAAATTGAACTTTATTATCAAATATATTTGTTTTAAAACATTCCGGTCTACTTATTACTTATATGTAATAAGTAGACCGGAATGTTTTAAAACACTCGTGGGCAAGATAAAAATAATAAATCAATTAAATAACCAAACCCTTTCAATTATGCTTAATTACCATAATTTACTTTATTTAAAGATTCGTAAAAAAATTCATCGTTCACTCAGTTAATTAAATGAGATTAGTCTGTCTTCAACTCTTCAAACATTAAAATGTTGGCTTGCCCAATTTCTAGCTTTATTCACCAAATAATTTCACAATAAGTTAAATAAATAATAAATATTAAATTCTAACATTTATTACACGCTTCGACATTAAAATATACCCAACAAAGATGTACATTTAAGTCATTCAAGCGAGACTTAGTGTTGAAAAACCAAGATTATGGACTTTTTTATCAGTTCAGATTTTATGAACAAATATTTGTATGAAGTTACCAAAATTATGCACTTTCATATCAGTTCAGACATTATGGACAAATATTAGAAATATTATCAAAAGCTAGGTGGAAATAAAACGTCTTTAGGGCATTTTTAAAACATTCTACAGATGATAATGATCTCACTGAGTAGGGTAGTTCATTCCAAATTTTTGGTCCACAAAACATAAATTCAGCATCCGTTCGTCTGAAATGAGGAGCAGGAGGAACTTTCAACAAATAAAAGTCATCATCTGGACTAAATGCAGCATCCGTTCGTCTGGAACTTCGTCTTCGTACTTCCCTTAGATTGACGTGTCCTTGCAAGTACTGAGGGGCTATGAGTTGGTAAATTTCCAATACTCTTGTCATGAAGTGTCTCTTATACGGTCCAACGCAGCTGCAATTCTATTAACCTTCACAACAACATCTCTCCGGTACTGTCTAACTTCTTGAACTCCATGTGTCTCCACTTCATCAAGTTTTAAAAGACACTGTGTTAACATCTCGTCTACATATTTGAAATCATTAGAATTCCTCTCCACCCTGTGTCTTCGCAGGTAATGGTCCAACTCCATTGATTCTTCTAGAATGGTAGCTAGTTCTTTGAAACTGGCTTCTATTTTCTCTCCTAACTGTTGTACATCTTCGGAGTATAATGTTGATGATGATGATGATGGAGATGTTGTTCTTTTCCCTTTTCCCCCTGATAGACCACTCATTTGCAGATCTGATTGATCTCAAGTCTCATTCTTTTCTGTACTCCCATTTTTATGCTATCAAAATAAGGTGTTCAATGGTACAGGTACTTTCTTTGCCGATTCCGAGCAATTAAGTAGCTTATGCAGAAATTATTACAGATAAATACTGAACAGTGTACAACAGTTTACGTTTGATGAACAAAATCCCGCTACAAACGATAAAATATACTGATAAAATTAGATGCTTAAATAGCTACACAACACAAAGATAGCATGAGAATGAAACAGTCTGGAGCACACATTGCAAGACAAATCTAGGAAATCAGTGTCAGAGCTTTGTAATTTGCAGCGAAAATACATAATGCAGGAAGCAGGTCTGTCAGCTAATCATGTAATGTTTTGTAAATAGGATTAATAGGTATTAGCGTATTAGTGTATATTATGCAGGTACCGGTGGAGCTACAGTTATTTCATACTCAATTATTTTGGTTGATATTGAGATATTTATTGTGGTGCAAAACAATGTGGGTGATCTTTTCAGCAAATTACGGCGTCATAAGCCGTTGAAAATGTATGTATCATGTCTTTGTAACTTAACTTAAAGATTACATAGGAGAGACCATGAATCTGTTATGGAGCTAGTTTCATGAAGATACTAGCGATAAAAGGCGGGAATGTCTGCGATTCTCCACATCAAGTTTGAACCATGTTTCATTGAGAAGATCCTACAGTTGAGGGACTATGACGACCAGATAAAGAAGGTGAGAAGTTTAAGGAGTCTATTTTATCTGTCGTATCTGTAAACTTTTATGCTTATCTAACAACCTACAGTTGTGCGGTAGGACTAAATGTAATTATATATACTAGGTATAAGTGTAGTTTAAACAAGTGAAACACACGAAATATATAGTGCTCCTTCAAATCTGCAGTTGAGTACTTTCTTTGGGAAACCAAGCTACAACTAATTATTAATTTATATAGATTTGAATAATGTTACATTTCAGTTGCTAGAAGAAATAAAGTGTGAGGAGGAGGATGACAGGATCATGTGCGACTACGTTATTTCTCTTCTGAACCATCTGCTGGAATGTGGTACAACATTCCCTCATATGGCCTCAACTCTTAACTTCTCTTTGCAGGTATGGTAGTATCTAGTTTCAATTATATCATTTAATTGAATATATCAGTGACATCTAATCAGTCACTGATCATATGCATGATTTGACGGGGAATGTAGGATTACATCGGAATCTGTATTCAATGCCGACGATGTCAGCTTGTTTAACTGAAAAAGTTTGTTGGGCGCGTAAATGTAACAGTCCATGTGTTAGAAATTAGAGAAGGTATTTAAATTTCATATCCACATATTCAGAAGAGTGGCAGATGTTCTTGATATATTTCCGGCAATTTCAACTTGTATCATTTACAGTAGTCATGATAACTCGTCGTGCTATATAGCTTGTAAATTTTAACAGCAGATTAGCTCGGGATTGAAAATATAGAATTCCTGAGGACAGTGTCTGTTTGAAGTCACAATGATTAACCTCGAATAAAATCAGACGTCTAAGATATAATTGGTTGAAAGACCCAAAGGCCACCTGCACCCATAGGGCTTTTGAGCAGTATACACAATTTATTTTAAACAAAATAAAGTTGCTATCTCTGGAAATGAAACGACCTGCACCTACTTACAAATTAAGCCAGACCCGCCTTGCAAGTAATTTTAGTCTTGCAAGTACTTTCAGTTAATATATAACGCAATTAACTTTATTGTCTCTGATAAAATTAAAATCTACATTATAATTTAATAGAAATCAAACGACATTTCACTTTTAAGTTTTATTGTTTATCGCTTCTGTAAGCAGTCACCATCTGCTCCAGATTCGTAGATTATTTGTATCAATTTAAGGTACGAACAACGAAAACAAGAGTAATAACGATGGTTACAAGATATTAAACTATAAAACAACACAATGAATAATTCGACAAACTCCTGCTTTAACTCCTAGTTCACCAGACGTATATTGCCCAAAATCGCCCACCGATCTAATGATCTTATCCTACCATAACATATCACATCATGAAATACTATCACTATACACATACTATAGCCAGACATACTATTATATATTATAAAGTCGGCCGTCAATACTTGTCTATATTCACGCAGCGTGAATCACGCTGAAACTCCTAGCTTAAATCCGCCATGACCCATGCCATTATGTCTACTATCAATCCCTCTCTACGCCAACCAGAACTCAACCAGAGTTACAGGTTCCGACCACCAACTATCCTTCGATAGGACAAACCACCAACTCTCTCTCTCCCAGTTCAGGCTCCCTTACAGTCCGGCATCAATGACGCTCTATCGAATCGGGAAAACTCAATCTCCTTCTCGACCGTCCGTCCGACCTTATATATTCCTCTACCAGCCCTGTATGTGCCGCACCAAAATACGGCCCGCCTATGCTGTATGCTCCGAAAACTCATTATTCTCTATTAACTGCATTCTAATCTATAGCACGCACTGTCTTGTCAACAAGTCGGCCTGATTTTCTCGTGCTCTCTGTTGCTTATTCAACCAACATCGAACTACAGGCCGTCTAATTTTATCTATGATTATCATTAATTCCCTACCAGTATTTTCAGCCACTACCCTCATCACACTTCCGTCGTGTTCTTGCCATAAGCCTTTACATGCTCGTTGCACAATGATTATTTCGGCCGCTACTAAGATCAAAATCTACGAGGCACAAGTAGTCTCTATTCTACTCTACAACTGCAACTCCTGGGCTGCACCACTAGCTTCGTTGAATGAACTTGATATTGCTCATCGCAAACACCTCCGAAGAATCCTCAACATCAGATGGCCTACTGGGGTTATTTCTAATGAGGCACTCTATGCTCGTTGTTATGTCACTCCCTTGTCTGTGAGAGTCTCTAAGTTTCGATGGAGAATGTTAGGACATATCTTAAGAGGACAGGAAGACTCACCAGCATACACCTCTATGTTATTTGCTATAAATTCTGATATTTTTATGGAAGGGAGACGGGGTAGACCATGTTTAAACTTATTAGATGTTATTAGAAAAGACTTGACTAGTAGAAATCTTGATATTAGACTTAAGAATTTGACTGATTTCGAAAACCTTAGATTTTTGGCTTTAGATAGGGAGGAATGGAAGAAGTTAGAAGATGGTTGATGTTTTTGTTTTCTTTTTTTTGCGTTTTGATATCTATAAGGTGCCTAGGATGCTCTTTTAAAGAGATATTTCGTACTTTGAAAGATTTACTACTACTACTAATGATAACTCCGCATTCTCTTGAGTAATCGGTTAATATTATAAATCTATATAATTTAACTTAATAATGATACTTCCAGAAAAATTGACTCAAAATATTCACTGCGTACACTTCAGTTCCAGCTCCTCGTTTATCCATGTTCTTGATAGGCTTTCAAAGGAAGTGATCAGCTCAAAAGTACTTTCAACAATGGTGAAACTCCAAAAACCAGAGGTTGATCATCATATTATCAAGACAAGCGAGATTTCGGACCCTGATTTTATAGTAATAAATCTTTCTTTACGAGCCCGTTCAGAAGCTCCAGTGTGCTCAGCTGAAGAAGAAAAGACTACCTCAGATATTCTTGCAGTTCAACTTACAACACGGAATCGGTTGACGATTTTAATTTTCGCTTGCATTGGAATTTTCCTGATATTTCTTACCCGCTTGTTTCCGTCTGGATTTTACTTGTACTTCGTTCAAAAATCAGGCTTCAGGACCATCATAGGTAAGATTAAGGGTGCGCCTATTTTATTATCATAAATAATCATCACTTTTCTAAGTTTAAACATAGGTTGGTAGATTTTATAGTTTTCCAAGCTAGATATATTGGGACACCAATCACCATTTAATAGTAATCAACTCAGCTGATAGCGAAGTTGCAATAACACCTGTAAATTTCCAAGTAATAAGTAGCAATAACAACTTCTCCTCAGGTACCGTGTCGATTTCTGCTGCTCTAATCACTTCACCCTTGGGCCCCTACGTCTACAGATTTCTACCACAATTCATCAGAAATACCTCACTTTTCAAAAGGTGCCTAGGATTGAGCTTTATCAACCTGATATTCACTGCTTTGATGGCTTTGGTACAAGTTGCAGCTGATAGAAACTGTGGACCCGCTGTCATCTTCGGAACTATAGCATTGTTGAGGGGAGCCCAAGGTTTTGCAATAGGCATAATGTTTGTGTTTGTTCAGGTGAGAATTGGTTGGAGAACATATAATTATCATTGACATTATATAGAAATATTGAGCTATGATGCTAATGTTAATTCCAGTACTACTACTACTAGTTCCTTGAATGAATGTAGTATAAATGGTTGTTGTAGGACAATCCATAGATCGTTTTTACTGTTCCGTTTGAACTATGTTTATAAAATATTTGTTAATAATTCAATACCATTTCAGGGTGAGATCATTGATCTGTATCTTAAAGATGATCAGAAGTCGATGATCTTGATTAGCAGTTTTATGCAACTGGCAGCGATGGTCTCAACGATTATGGGCACTGAGTTATATGCTTCTGGTGGATGGGTCTTAGTTGGATTTGGCGTGGCTTCCTTCAACATCCTTCCCCTTGTGATTCTACCGTTTCTTAAAAACATTAAGGTGGAGGAAGGCGTCCAACAGAAAGTTGAAAATAGCGATACAGCAGTACAAAGTAAGGGCCCTCAAACTGTGTCACGGAGGCTTGCTTACTACATTCCAGACGTAGTCCTGTTCCTGAATAACATGGTTGTAGAGCTGCTAGTTTACGTGCTCCCCCCGAGAATTGTACAGTCCACTACCATGTCCATCACTTCGGCTGTGTCTTTACTACGTATCCTTGGTATTGCTTCGTTTCTCTCTGCCTTAACTTTGAGTTTCATTGCCGGAAAATTCAAAAAGTTGAATACTCTCGGCATAATGGCAGCGGGAAATGTATCTTATTACTGTGGTGCTGCTGTGGCGTACGGAGCAACAACGTACCACTTCAGGTTCCTGGGTGTGACACATCAACTGATTATTGGGCTGATATTAATGGGGCTAGGTGGGGCTTGCCACCTTAATCTCTGCATTCCTAGCAAGTTTTACCTCCACGATAAGTGGAACCTGAACAAGGACTGTCTCGGACAACAAGCCGCCAAGATCTACAACATCGTTATCAGCCTTTCTTCTATGCTTGGAACAATCATCTCAGCCTTGTCGCTGACTTGTAAAAGTGAGATACCGACTGTAGCGGGTATATCAGGACTTGGTGTAGTTCTAACTGCATGTCTTCTGTTGTGTTACCTCGTTAAATAACGTAGCAGGATTTACTTATTATTTATAACTTTTGGTAGTTGTGTAACATACAATTGGAATGTTTACTCGGTTGAATAACCTTTCAATGCATTTGACTAATATTAACATCGATGTAAAATGTATATCGATTGTTTTTTGTATGAATATTATCATTATCTTAACTTTAGTGACCAACTAGAACTGAGACTTTTACTTTTTCCTTTCATCCAGTTACAATCAAATTTAATAAGTTGGGATTTTGAAATCTCTTTTTGAAAAGCAACTACATCTAAATCTGTCGACGAAACTGCATTAAGTATCACTTAAGTTACAAGTTTTCACAAAAACATAGAAAAAAAGGTGCATACCGTCTTTTCTTGGGCAGTTGCCATTGTCCTAGATATAAGAGATTCTAGCACGAAATAGATCATTTTCTAGTCCAAACAAACAAGTTGTATCTTTGTCTGAATAGATATATAATGTTCCAACCCATGATATTATGTAAAACCTTAATATTTGTGCAGTATCCATAACATCTTCTACTTTTCAGTTTATGAAGAACACCTGCAATTCTAGCTTAGTGAATGCTCTACGGACACTGCAGCAAACCTTGCCTGGCTTAAATTCTATTAATCAGTATCAGGTAAAGTTACTGTAGCTTATTATACATAGATTGTAGGTATTTCTTTAATCAGTAGATAACGGTTTAATCATAAGATCATCATACGAACTGAATTTGTGAGCTGATTGGTTAATTGCTGTCACGTGTCAAAACAAGACTGCGTACTGCTCTATTAGTAAGGGGAAAAGTGGCATTCCGTTGGATTTAAATGTTCACAAGGATTTAGCAACGGAATATGGTAGTTAGAACCCCTACGAACATAATTAGACTTGTCACCAATTTTGTATCTCGACAGAAACACCACTTTTTACCACTTTTTACCACCTTTGTACCACCTTTCTGGTTTGCCAAATATCTTTAGTTGTGAACGTCGTAGAAGGCTGAAAATTAACCTAGAATGTTTATGTTATCAAGGAGTAAAACTTTTGTACGAAAAATTTTTACATTGGACAATCAGCTAATTGGATCATTACCAATTAGTTAATTACCAAAAATAGTGAAAAAATTTTATTGGCTCAAAATGATTAAAATCGTTTGAAACACGGAGAAATGTAGTTTTTAGAAAAACTTCAAAACTTTTTCACTTAAAAATTTTTTTCGAGACTTGAAAAAATTTCGAAATTTTGAAAAAATTTTTCCGCCAAAAGTAATCGAATTGCATGAAACGTGGATAAAAGTGCTTTGCAGAAAAACTTCGAACATTTTTAGATTGGGGAATACTAAAATCATAAATATTTGAAGTTGGAGTTCAGTAAATCTCAGCATATTTTAGTAATTAGGAATAGCTTAGCGGAAAGGGCTGAACCTGAAAAAGGTTAACCACACAATATTAGAGTTTCATAACTAATTACAATACAGCTTTACCAAATTCCACATAAAGAAACAGCACAAAAGGACCGTTTAAGATCGAACCGATTTTACCTGCTGTATACTATCATTTTATTGATTTCAGTGATCAAAACCTCTCTGTACCGTCAATCTTGCCAATCTATACCGGGTATCTGAATGTACCGGACCTCTTCTTTGCCTCTATAATAATAGACCCAGTTGTGCAAGAAATGCGACTTCTCACAGGGGCTTCTTTTAACTGTGCACTTTTTGTCACTCTCGCAAGAGGCCCGGTATTATAGGGGGGTATAGGAAGCAAGTGTAAATATACCTTCCATTATCCACTGTGGGTTTTTTGTGTTGTGAATGCGCATATCATGCCGCTTCGTTTGCTATGCAAGATACCTCGAATAACCCCCATATGTCATTGCCAGGGTCGGGATAGAGCTGGAGATAGCATTGAGAGGTTGCTAGAAATAACTAGACTTAGAATAAAGTCTAGCTATCAGATTATAATGAAAGGCTGTTAAGCTTAGGGGTGGGCGACAATTGACCCCCCGACAATTGACCCCCGACAATTGACCCCCGACAATATAATTTAATACAATTAATCCTGACCCTGACCCTGACCCTGACCCTGACCCTGACCCTGACCCTGACCCTGACCCTGACCCTGACCCTGACCCTGACCCTGACCCTGACCCTGACCCTGACCCTGACCCTGACCCAGGACCCTAACCCTAACCTTAAACCTAACCTTAAACCTAACCCTAACCCTAACCCTGACCCTGACCCTAACCCTAACCGTGACCCAGGACTCTGACCCTAACCCGATCAATTGACTCCAGTGTAATTACATGGGGGGTCAATTGTCGTACTAAGCCCTAGATTTTGCGACAATTGACGCCAGTGTAATTACATAGGGGGTCAATTGTCGGGGGGTCAATTGTAAGGGGGTCAATTGTCGCGGTACAAAGCTCAGGACGGTGATCTTGATAGGTCGGATAGCTGTACCTGATTGGTTCCAGCCCACCGTGTCGCTTGGAAGTAAGTTCTCACCCCACCTCTTCCAAAAATGCGGTTACCAGAGCAGGAAACTCTTCTTCCTCCTCTTCATTCAACCGGAACACAATCAGGTTCCTGCTCCTCTCCTCCTCTGCAGCCACAATCTTAGCTCCTTCTTCGGCGTTTTACTGTTGCAGACTGTATAATTTACTTGCACTGTTCTTTTGCAGTACTCCTGCACTGTTACACTGTAGCTCTGTGTCCCTGACTCCACCGTGGTTTGCACTGCCCCTAAACTGCAATCTTAAGTAACTTTAGTTCTGGCACTCTTTGGCCATTAAAATAACCATATTTATTTATTTATTTATTTTTAGCACCACCCAGCTACCACCAGTTTATTCTAAGTCTAGCTATTTCTAGCAACCTCTCAATGCTATCTCCAGCTCTATCCCGACCCTGGCAATGACATATGGGGGTTATTCGAGGTATCTTGCATAGCAAACGAAGCGGCATGATATGCGCATTCACAACACAAAAAACCCACAGTGGATAATGGAAGGTATATTTACACTTGCTTCCTATACCCCCCTATAATACCGGGCCTCTTGCGAGAGTGACAAAAAGTGCACAGTTAAAAGAAGCCCCTGTGAGAAGTCGCATTTCTTGCACAACTGGGTCTATTATTATAGAGGCAAAGAAGAGGTCCGGTACATTCAGATACCCGGTATAGATTGGCAAGATTGACGGCACAGAGAGGTTTTGATCATTGAAATCAATAAAATGATAGTATACAGCAGGTAAAATCGGTTCGATCTTAAACGGTCCTTTTGTGCTGTTTCTTCTTGATGTGGAATTTGGTAAAGCTGTATTGTAATTAGTTATGAAACTCTAATATTGTGTTGTTAACCTTTTTCAGGTTCAGCCCTTTCCGCTAAGCTATTCCTAATTACTAAAATATGCTGAGATTTACTGAACTCCAACTTCAAATATTTATGATTTTAGTATTCCCCAATCTAAAAATGTTCGAAGTTTTTCTGCAAAGCACTTTTATCCACGTTTCATGCAATTCGATTACTTTTGGCGGAAAAATTTTTTCAAAATTTCGAAATTTTTTCAAGTCTCGAAAAAAATTTTTAAGTGTAAAAGTTTTGAAGTTTTTCTAAAAACTACATTTCTCCGTGTTTCAAACGATTTTAATCATTTTGAGCCAATAAAAAATTTTCACTTTTTTTGGTAATTAACTAATTGGTAATTATCCAATTAGCTGATTGTCCAATGTAAAAATTTTTCGTACAAAAGTTTTACTCCTTGATAAGATAAACATTCTAGGTTAATTTTCAGCCTTCTACGACGTTCACAACTAAAGATATTTGGCAAACCAGAAAGGTGGTACAAAGGTGGTAAAAAGTGGTAAAAAGTGGTGTTTCTGTCGAGATACAAAATTGGTGACAAGTCTAATTATGTTCGTAGGGGTTCCAACTACCATATTCCGTTGCTAAATCTTTGTGAACATTTAAATCCAACGGAACCCTTAAATCGACCACTTTTCCCCTTACTATATCATCCTCATCACATCCTTGTGTAATAAAATCCATTAATTTCAAATTAAAATTATCTGATTAAAATAAGTATTAAAACTCAACAATTTCAGACGAAATGTGTCCTGGAGTTTATAAACAAGACATATTTCCAACACTTCAACTTGTACAAGTACATCCTGACCCTTCCCCGACAGCAGGACTACACTCGGCTTGATAAGATGTTTACGTTCTGGAGGAACCCAACTCTTTAAGTGGGGGTGTTGAAGAGCATCAGTGGAGGTCGGGCTCTCTTGTTATTGAAATATATAACCGATATTGTAGAAACTATTAAAACGTTAAAATAATTATTTATCTGTGCATGAATTCGATAAGCTGAGATACAATACATTAGTGATACGCACATTTTCTAATGTTATTCTAGTTTGAAATACCCGCTAATCATGTGAGTGCACACTTGAACAATCTCACTTCTAAAACAAGAAGTCTTATATTTAAGATAACAACACCTCTAGATACGACGAGAAGATGAAGTTAATATCACAACAACACGCAGCCGCCATGGCAGAAGCTGAGATAGAGTCACGGTCTCGGCCCGTTGAAAGACTCGACAAACGGGGCCGGGTACACCAAGATAACATTAATGATTTGGTAAGTATTCAGGGGGGAGGGGGTACACCAAGATAACGTTAATGATTTGGTAAGTATTCAGGGGGAGGGAGGGTACACCAAGATAACGTTAATGATTTGGTAAGTATTCAGGGGGAGGGGGTACACCAAGATAACGTTAATGATTTGGTAAGTATTCAGGGGGAGGGGGTACACCAAGATAACGTTAATGATTTGGTAAGTATTCAGGGGGGAGGGGGTACACCAAGATAACGTTAATGATTCGGTAAGTAGTCAGGGGGAGGGGGTACACCAAGATAACGTTAATGATTTGGTAAGTATTCAGGGGGATGGGGGATACACCAAGGTAACGTTAATGATTTGGTAAGTATTCAGGGGGAGGGGGTACACCAAGATAACGTTAATGATTTGGTAAGTATTCAGGGGGGAGGGGGTACACCAAGATAACGTTAATGATTCGGTAAGTAGTCAGGGGGAGGGGTACACCAAGATACCGTTAATGATTTGGTAAGGTATTCAGGGGATGGGGATACACCAAGGTAACGTTAAGTATTGGTAAGTATTCAGGGAGAGGGGGTCCACTAAGATAACGTTGATGATTTTTGGTAAGTATTCAGGGGGAGGGGGTACACCAAGATAACGTGATGATTGGTAAGTAGTCAGGGGGGAGGGGGTACACCAAGATAACGTAAAGCTTTGGTAAGTATCAGGGGGAGAGGAGGGTACATCCAAGATCACGTTGATGATTTGGTAAGTATCAGGGGGAGGGGGTACACCAAGATTAACGTTAATGATTTGGTAAGTATTCAGGGTGGTAAGTATTCAGGGGGATGGTGGGTACACCAAGATAACGTTGATGATTTGGTAAGTATTCAGGGGGAGGGGGTACACCAAGATAACGTTAATGATTTGGTAAGTATTCAGGGGGGGGGGGGATACACCAAGACAACGTTAATGATTTGGTAAGTATTCAGGGGGGATGGGGAGTTAATCAACCGAGTAAAAGACTCATTACTCTCTGTTAGCTTGTTGGTAGATCAATTATAATACGAACTATCATTTTAACATCATTTTTTATAGCGTCTAAATTTTCATATCAAGGCCATTATTTTGACTATCTTACCTTTGTTTGCTTTCATTCCGTTTAACATTATTTGATATGCATAGTCGTAAAACTACTATCTTGTCACACAATAGATGTGGACTGTAAATTTATATGAGATACATATCTTTAAAATGTTCTACAAATACAATCCACAGCTATTCTAGAAATCCTGAATGACCACTTGCACTCACTGCACACTCAAGCTATGAATGGAACGTCTGTTCTTGCGCTTGATAGGAGTCGGACTGTCTAAACCGTCCTTAACAATAATGGTAGAGAACACCTCCACACTTGTGGGTTTATTAAGCAACTCACCATGCTCCACAGCTCCATGTCTACCAACATGAGGATGTTGGAGGTAGTATCATTGAATTAAGTATTACCGATCATAATTATATTAAATTTAATCCGTCTTTTCAGGTGACATGTTACATTAGAAATCACTTTGAAAACATTGAAACTGAAGTCAAGAGGTCACTCAAGATCACTGAAATAGCTATGGAAAAAGAATTGGCTGTTATCGAGGTAAGTCCACTTGAAATTTATCCTAAACAGATTCATTCCTTTTACATTTTAAAAATCTGATATTTCAATATTTTCTGGAGCATATAAAATAACGTTTATCATCGTACAGGCTGGAATAGCACGGAACAAAGAAAAAGAAGAAGGGTCCACCAATCCCACAACCCCTCCCAAGAAACCAAAAAGTCCAAAATCTGCTCAAAAATCTGCCACCAGAAAGAAATCTCCCGGGAAGAAATAATTGAATAATATACAGTTATGTGATGGAACACATGCCAGTTGACATTGGCTTATTTCAGCTTATTGGATTATTTTCAGCTACATATTAATACAGCCATTCACTGATGATTTGATTAATTTAAAAAACACTTTTCAGTACTCTGAATTTAACTCGCATGTTGCAGTGTACCGTTTATTCTGTACTCTGTAATTACTATAAAAATGCATCTTATGCATTATCTCTCGGGAGCAATGTTTAACATATGCTTGTTTTAATGACAGAGAAGTAAAATATTTACAAACAAAATGGTGGTTGCTTCATTTCGAAAAATATGTTGTCCGGCTTTTGCACTGTGCTTGATGAACTTGAAACGAGCTGCATTTCCAACGAAAAGCACGAAAAGTTGTTGTTTTTAATGTAGCGCGCGAAAAGAAGTGACTTTTTTATGAATAAAGTTTTATTGCCTCCATTCACTATACCAAAAAGAAATATATAGATAATAAATATACCGGCACGCGCGCTAGCTAGCTATAATATAGCTATTATAGTAATAGCTAGTCGGCTCTGACCTCGGCGCTACTATAATTCACTCGCCAGCAATTCAAGTAAAACACATGAGTTAAGGCTACCAGACCTTATCGATTGTCGTATCTATATCTGTAAAATGTTAAAGCACAAAGGTAAATTTCAAACATATTTTATCGGGTACTTGGCATCTATCCAAAAGTTTGGCGAAATTGCACGTGCGTGCTGCTTCCAACCATGACAACGTGCATTTTGAGCCCTTGTTTGCACGCAATCGGTCAGTGCTATTCAAATCTTCTCTCTTTTGTTAAGATAAACAACACTACATTAATGGAACCAAGTGCAATCTTGATCCTGATCGCCATCGTCCTCCTCGGCGTTGCCATTATGGGAGGAGGAACTATGGTATTTTGCTGCCACGGGTTCGAGCGAGGTCTCCCCTTCATCTCAGTCCGTGAGTTATACGAAGAACTAGCAGATTTGGACAGGAGAACCAGTGAAAGGTACATGGACTTCGCCCTCCTTGTTAACAGCGTGGCTAGTGGACTACAGAAAGAAGCAGCAAGTCTCCCAACCCAGCTACTGGTCAAAGACACGTCAACTATCATTGACATGGAAGAAGGAAATGGAACTGTTGGGTGTCAGACTACCCCAACTCATCATGTAATGGTCACACCTGCCCCAGCTGAGGTGATCATCTCTATCCCCGAAGAATAGGACTTACACTTCTACAACTTCAACCACCACCAATACCATAAAGAGGCATTTAATTAACCATCTCTTGGATTTTAACGACCATTTTAACGATTTTAAAGGCCCAAGCAACACGTCGTGCTTGCGGTCTCAGTGGGGGGAGTAGGAAAGTTTTGAACTACCTGCTCTTCGTGCCAGCCTGACAGTTCTGTTAAACCCTGCCGCCTAGTAAAAATGCAAGGTATATAACAGAACTGTGGGGTCCCACTGCCGCGGATCTTACCCGGCTGATGATCCTGGAGTGCGGTCAACTCCACCCCTGCCCTGATCCCGTAACCAGAGCGTTTTCATTACAGTTACACGGTCCATCCCGATTACCCCAGAACGGTATTTTTTTTCTTCCTGGTTACTATTCCGTCCGGCGATTTCCATTCAAAGGGGTCCTTTCACAAGCATGTTTCAGTGAAATACCGGAAAGCCAGTAAAAGTTTTACTGGCTTTCCGGTATTTCACTAAAACTATGTCACAATTTGATCGGCAGTAAGTAGTTCAGTCTCACATCTCTTGGATCTAATTCATCGCAGGGACATTTTTGTCGTTTTTCCACCATCAAGAAATGTCAGCATATATTTGATTTTGATATTTCAGTAGAACCGATCGATAATTGTCCGGCTTAAATATCCGGCTCCAGTTCCGGTCCGGCTTAAAAGCTATTTTGTGGAATATCAACCGGAAAGATTTAAAAAAAAAGTTATATTATAATCTCGGTGTCTAATTCAAATCTTGGGTAATCAGGTCAGTACATGTCCTGAAGTTGGCTTTTACTAATTTGCTCGCCCAAAAATTGTTTTTATGGTTTTACATAAACCTTAATCCCAACCCTAACGGTAATCCTAACCCTAATCCGAGCCCTAAACAATCGAATTCGTCTTTTACTAGCCTGTCACGTGACCAAAACAGTTGTTTGCCCATAACTCTCCAGGAAAGCATTTTGATTCGGAATCAGATTCGGAATCAGCGTCCAAAAATACACCGATCTAGATTACTTTCATACCGTCAGAGCCTTTTCACAAGAATTTTCTTAAAAATAAAATTTGGTCGAGCGATTTAGTGGGAGCGCCTGAACACTGAAGTTCGCATCTCGTGGCCGAATAACATGTCTCTGATGTTGGTTTCTTTAGAAATAGGCTAGTACTAGTAGTACTGCAGTCAAATACGTCTTTTTGTCGGACGTAATTCCCAACAAAGCGATTTCAACGGGAAATGGTCGGGACAGGTCCCAGGAATCATATTTAGGTCCTTAGATTCAGATCTTTGGCTCCAATAACATGTTAATGTTTCATCTCGGAGTCGAGTAAACAGGTAATTTGTGGGAACCTTAAGTTACGACCCAATGCCGAATATCATGTCGTGTCGAACGACTTACAGTTACGTACAGGTAATTATATAATTATATACGAACCACAATATGATAAATGCGTTACTTCAACCGTCAGGTATATCGTGTAAAAGATTGCGTGACTTTTTTGCCTAATGAAAATATATTTTCGTACCATGATTTGTGAGTTGTGACTGACAAAAGACGTAAGGTAGCGGGTGGAAACGCGTAAAATCGGTACTGTGTACTATTACTTACATGATGACAATTGAAGAAGAGTGGAATGTCAAAGTATCATTGATATTCTAGACTCAATAATTCTTCCCGATTCGAATTATAGTAGAAATAAAAGTACAGTTTAAAATGCGGTAAAAATATCTTTTAGAAGAAGCTAGCTTTGCTAATATTATAGTCTGTCGGATTATTAACCAAATGTTTTCCCGACGGTGAAACTGATAACAATTAATGGTTTTTGTTAATTTCCCCCGGATTTTGCGATAGAAAGTGAAACATACTTTTGAATAAAAACGAGCCACCCTATTTAAGGAAACCCACAAAATACAAATCTATAAAATTTGGTTGTTTTTCTACATTTTCGCAATCCCGATTTGAGTAGAAGTTTATTCACTATTGCATCTCCCACTGAATTTTTTCAATATATTATATACTGTCACTGAAGTTTAATCGGAAAAAGCTAAATTTTGTGGAACCGTTTGCATATGTACCATGTATGCAAATATAACTATAAGCTATTAACAAGCACCGCTAAGATCAAAGATCAGGATTACTGGTCATTGGTATTTTGAAATATCCTTCCAAAACTTAACATCCACTTTTTAACAAAACCCCACCTTATCTACTCCGAAATCTATCACTCTATTGTTTCATTTCACCCGAAGCGATCAAATTTTCAGGTTTGCAGCGGAATCTCAGCCAGAGATATGATCAATTAACTTGTTTGGAACGCACATAATCAGCAATGGGCTTACACTGGAGCAGCAGGCTTACAACGCTAGCCAAGTAAGCAGCGAGCTATTAACTTTACCATTTATCCTAAATAAGGGACTGTATTAACACAGCAGTTGTCTGCATTGTGAGCGGCACGTGACCCTCACGTGGGCGCCTCGTGACTCTTTGGGTTGCCATCTGAGGCCCACGTGACCTCCCACTCTTGATGGCTCAAAGGAAAGAATTGAGCAACTGCACTCGTCCAATATGGTATAAAAAGCGGCGTGACTCACGCGTGGTCGTACCTCTTCCTGTGATTGGTCCCGATATTTGTCGTTCTGCGCGCTGATTGGCCGCTTGTTTGGGTCACGTGAGATCGGCACGGTGCCGTTCAGAGAGCTAGAGTAATGAATGCGCAGCACTTGTGATTCAGGCACACTATCGCACTGAGAACGTAGCAGTTCGTCTTCTTGACCCCACATTTTACACGATCCGGCCTAACTCTAATCTTGGGGCCGTTTTTCATGTTGCTTTGTTGAATTTGTCAGCTGTATTCAGTTGTCAGTGATCGACTACAGAGTCTGAGATTTCAGGAGTGGTAACCTCAACACTCAACACCGGATGGAAGAGGACAGTGTAGGTGAGTGGGTTCCCTTGCGGCCTTGTTGCCAAACCTGAGTGGGTGGAGTCACGTGATTCACAATTCCACCATATTTGGGCATCAGCTGACCACGTGATTCCGCAATTCAACCTCATTCCTGGGTCACGTGACCCGCATTTATTCCATATATGGAGGTCGCATGACAGGAATCGTAAGGAAGTGCCTAGCCAGCCCAGCAGCACTTTTCGCAAGATGATCCGCCGGTCTTAAAAATAAGTGTGCCAAGATTCGAGAAATTGTGTTAGCACTTGTGAGTTCTCCGTCTTTACACGAGATTTGCTTAGTTATCCTGCTTAGTTATACTCTGTAACTTTGCTTGCATATTGGACGATTTGCTGACCTTTTGGGAGCTAGGTTTATACAAAGTTATAATGATGATGGATGCACTGGAGGGACGCAACATCGAGGAAGATATAAACTTCTTCCTCGAGCAACAGACGGTCCACCAACCTCCACCTTTCCCTCATTTCCCTCCCCCAAACGGTAATACATCCTGCTACTCAGTACACTATGCCGTGGGGCTCCCCTAATTGTCTCGAATAGTTTGCATCATTATATTATAATAGCATGATTGATGGGCTTATTCTGTGCGTGATGAGCAGACAAAAGACTTGGTCGTTCGTTTAGTGTAAACTTTCTAAGTTAACAACAAACCTCGATCATCTCTCTGCAGTACCCTCTACTGAGTAGTGTTATAGATCAGATAGAACTAAGAGCAGCTCATCAGTTGAGGTATCTGTTGCCGGCCTGAACTTGAACTTTGTTAAAAATAGATTCTCTGCTGAGTTCCCCTTTTATCTCAGTACATTTCCCCCTAATTCCGTTGGAAAAGCATGTTCACTGTCAGTAGGAACCCCGTCAGTAGATACTGGTCATTACAGTGGTTACTACTTACTGTTAGAAGTTACACGTTTGTATAATAGACAAGTGCCAGTACTACCATTTAGCTACACCCACACGATACACCCGTTCCTTTGTTTAATACATAGAGGTGATAGCTGTTCAAAATGGCTGTAAATATGTAGCAACTTAGAAAGGGGACTTTTTACCCCTCCCAAAAGCGGTTGAGCTGGTGCTTTTGGTCCGTGTTCGAATTATATTTATAATTATATTTATATAGAAGTGTATAGTGTAGGATGTTTACGGTCCTACTCTCCAAGGATGAGTGACAGTCAGATTACAGCTACAGATATCCTCAAACTGAGAATATGCCCTGGAAATTGTGTCATGCACCTTCACAAACTCATATCCTACAGTTTCTGTCGAGCTCTGCTGACTTAGGACCACTTATTAATTAGTTATTAAGTTGCCCTATTACTTTAAAGAAGATTAAGTAGAAGTCGATAATAGTTCTGACGACACGAGCAATCAAGTCCCGCACTCTAGTCCTGTATTTAATGAGGCATCTGAAATGACACATGTCTACAGTACTTCTAATTAGTGTGTACATGAGGTCACGTGACGTCACGTGAGGTGTCACGTGGTGGAGCCCCTCCGGGTCCCGCTCCCGAGACTGTGGAGCCCCATTACTCCATTAGCCCCCCTGTAATACACAGCGTTATTTGCTCCGTCATCTGTTGGTTCTTGTTGTTCGGTGAGGTTCGAACTGTTTTTAGGTGATTTAGTGGGTTCTGATCGTTGTTTTTAGTAACCATCCCTGAGACGGCCATGCCTGCCTTGGTTATTAAAGCAGGTACTGTTTCATCATCATATTATTCAAACTTTACAAAAACAAAGCTTCCTTTGCTCAAGATAATATATGTCCATTGACTTGTAAATGTTTGTAAAATGTAAACTTGACTTGTTTTTGTGTGCCCACCACTTTTTGAACAGTTGACGGGACCTTAGAAATAGCTGTGACGGAAATAGCTATAACGGGAAATAGCCTTGGCCCTTGACAGGAAATGGCTGTAACGGGATTTGTTGATAAGGCAGGTGCAGTGCCTTGTCGACAATGAATATGACAGATGTTATAAATTACGTGATTTGTGACACCCGATTGCTGTGCTGTGTTAGAGGTTGACAGTTTGATATAAAGCCATGAGCCGTTCAATATTTCGGCGGATCGGTAGTTCAAATCCTATTAAATGTCGTCTTGAAATGTCGCGTACCTGATCGAAGTTTCGTCACATGTTGTGACCGCTTGATATTTAGGCTCTAACATTTACAATTAGCTGACATATAATAACGCAGATTTGAAATTAAGAGATTTTCACATCACCTGCTGGCTGTCCTCAAATCTGACATCTTCAGAAGTAATGTAACCACGTCTTTAGGGGATCCACAGTACAGATTGCTATGAAATATGCTATGCAGGTTGCTGTTGCTATCCAGTCTGCAGGTTGCTGTTACTAAGCAGGTTGCTATCCAGCCTGCAGGTTGCTATCCAGTCTGCAGGTTGCTATCCAGTCTGCAGGTTGCTGTTACTAAGCAGGTTACCATCCAGCCTGCAGGTTGCTATCCAGTCTGTAGGTTGCTATCCAAGCTGCAGGTTGCTGTTACTAAGCAGGTTGCTATCCAGCCTGCAGGTTGCTATCCAGTCTGTAGGTTGCTATCCAGGCTGCAGGTTGCTCAGCAGGTTACTGCACATTATGCAGAGCTTGTTTTGATGTACAGAGCTCGAGAGTAAGCCAAGTACAGTGAGACGGTTATTTGTATGACTGGCTCGCAGCGCACCTCACACTACGCTCATCATTAAAACATTGGCCTGTTTAGGAACATCCAGTCGCAGGTATTCAGTGCCCTATTGTTGTGTAATGGTGGAGCACCCTCCCCGCCCCTTACACACTTTTAGAGTTACAATTTTAGAGGGACTGTGAATTGTGAATGTTTAGAGGAAGACTTTTTTGTGGAATATATTTTAATGGCAGATAATCTGAGAGTAGTTGTGAATGTTTTTCTGCGTGGGATTTCTTCCTGGTTTGAGTGTCACGTGCCTGCTAGTTGCTAGGAAACTTCATCACGTGTTTAGATTCTAGCCTTGTGATTGGTTGTTAGCTCGAACATGTGCCACTTCTACTGTTAGTCAGTGGACAGCTACTTTTTAGCGGTATACCTTGAATTACTTTAATCGGAAGGAAATCTCTATAGTGGTCAAGTGGGGTCACGTGGGGTCAAGTGTAGTCACCTGCCTCAGTGCCCAGTGCCCACGTATCCATGTAATTATCATCATTTTACAAAGAGATTTGTAACTATGAATCTTAATAGAAAATTCATATTTTAGATTAGAATTATTGTGTAATGCAAATTGAAATTCTCGTCTTACATGACGAGAGATTATGAAATTTTATTCAAAAGACACAATTTAATTTTGTTCCAAAGTTTGATTTCTTTTCCAAATCTGACTCCTTTATAATTTCAGATGTACCAAGTTCTGACCCTGGAGATGAGGAGCTAGAAGTTCCAGAACCTGCTAAGAATGAAAATGGTAAAGGTAGGATATCTTTTAGAGATATCTTTTTTTAATTGTTTACCCGTTCAATGTTTATAAAGCGCTTTTACAATGCATCAATTACTATCAAACAGGATCATTTAACAGAATTTATCAAACGATATACCTTAATATTTACCTTAATTTAATTAATTAATTGTGTAATCTACGTCACTCATCTGAGTATCCCACTCAGTTGGTAGTCCTAGATCTGAAACAGGTGGGTTGATAATGCATTTCTACTTTTTTTAATTTATATCTTTTTTTGCTGTTGTTTTTTTTCCTGTAATTATTGAATTGGGTTAGAATTTAAGATTAGAAATATTAGCGTTCCATCTGACTCTCATCTGACCCTATCCAAACCTATATTCATTGTCCTAGAGCAGACAGGAATCTGATGACTTATACTCTGTAAAATACAGTCTAGTTACACCCTCCCTCTTTCTCTGTTAGCGCTGAGTTACGTCTCCACAATATGTTATTTCAGTTCCTCAGCTTCACTCGCTCAAAATGGGATAATAGCCCTCAAATGTATAGTTGTGAAATGCAGTTGTCGGGAGTTGCTGGCCGGATATAATCCTTATATGGTATTATTATCCCACAGATCTCTACAAATATGATATTATTGTCCCGTATGATCGAAGATCGCTCATAAAGTTTAAACTGATCGAGGATGTCGAAGACGTTACATCATATTGTGTCTCCAGCTGTCTAAGCTTCATCATGTTATTCCCGGTCACGATGACAAGAATTTGTCATGTTTCATAACACCTGCAATGATTAGCACCAAGGTCACGAAGTGCACTGAAATATCTTGAAAACTGGCTGGCCATTTCGATCTAATCCGTGTTCTCGTAAGTCTGATCCCTCTCCCCATTAAGTTTGCTCTACATTTCAGCCTACTCAGTGTAGTAGGTAGTGCTCTCAATTTAACCCTACATCTTCAGATGTGTACGTATGTGACTCTTGTGGAGCTTTGTTTGCTTACAGTTACTCTCTCCTGGCTCACAAGAGGCACAAGTGTCATGCTGGAAAGGGAGAGTTCAAGTGTGATCTCTGTCACAAGAGGTTCAACTTTCCTTCCCAGCTTCAGAGACACATGCCAACCCACACAGGTAATAGTTTATTTAGTGATTACTTCATTATGGTGGTTTACTAGGATCATCATTCATCATTAATGAATTGTTAGTCATTATTGATTGATCACCAACAAATATCTCGCATTTTAAAAGGCTCACAACCACAGGAGAGAAGCCGTTTCAGTGCCACCACTGTCCCAAGGCTTTTAATGAGAGTAGCAATCTAAAGCAGCACATGTTGATCCACACGGATCAGAAACCATTTTGTTGCGATTTTGCTACTTGTGAGAAACGGTTCAGATCCGCAAGCAATCTCAAGGTGAGTGTTTAATTGATATTGAGGAAAGAGGAGAACCGTACAATTTGATATATTATCACTGTGTTAATTTCACGTAATTTTACTTAATAGCTATCCAAAAAAACTTGTTCAAGGATTCGATTGACTGATAAAATCGAACACTTGAACAACTTTTGGATTATATCCAAGCCTATGACCCAATTTGGGTCACAATTCCTGTCCAGTCCTTTCCAGAGACCACTGACCAGTGACTAGTCCAGTTACCAGTGACTGGTTGATCACATGTGACCTGTCACGTGTCTGGGTCCTCATATGAACTTGATAATCCCAGGTGCACATGAGGACCCACACAAAAGAAAGGCCCTACATCTGCGAATACAGCGGATGCGGGAAGAGGTTCGTCAGTGCTGGCGACCTCAAGAGGCACTTCAGAATACACACCAAAGAGCGACCTTATGTCTGCCAGTACTGTGGCAAAAGCTTCATCCAGGGACCGTGAGTGTAACTTTCACTTTCACTTTCTGTTTAAACACCACTTTCACTTTCACCACTTTCCCTCCAGGGATAACATTCAGTTTGTAGGCTTCCTCACGTCATTAGTCACATTAACGTGGCCGGCTTAGCAACAACTAGTGTTTTAAAGCTTGCTTACTTACTACGCTCATTCGAGCAGCCGTATCTAATATAATGACCTGAGTTATGTTGCGTACACTGAGTACAGCTAGCTGCTCTCCGAGCTCCTGGCTATGTGCCAGTTAGGTCTTTATACATCTCTCGTGTGGTGTAGTACTTTACACAGATTTTAATGATTCCTTAATTGGGGTTCTGACCTGTTGTGTGAATTTGTACGTTTTACTTTCTGATGTTTAATTTAAGTAACTACCACATATTATGTAGCGATTGTTACTTATATTCATATGTAAGATTTAATTATCTAGTTTACTTATAATATGAATGGCTAACTGCTTTTAACTTCTACTTTCCACATATAATACAAATTTTACCGGGGTAAGCACAGGGCTCCAATGCTCTATCTTGTAATAGTGGTCATCATGACCATGACCACGTACAGTGGTTAACGTTGCCTGTTGGTGCCCCCCCTCCCCCGCCAAAAAAGCGCCCCCTGTTGGTGCCCCCTCCCCTTTTGGCGCCCCTCCCTAAAATTGAACAAATAAGGTGATTTTCGAGGATACGCCGGTAAAATTTCTAAAAAAGTGTTTTCTACATTATGACCACCTCCCCCTAATTAGTAGAGTAGCTAAACAGCTAACTAACCAGCTAACTAACCATGGCTAAGTAACCAGCTAACTAACCAGCTAACCAGCTATAAGTCACGATTACATTCCTCAGGTACCTGAACATTCACATTCGGTCCCATACTAAGGAGAAGCCCTACACGTGTAGTCACTGTGGTAAAGCCTTCTCTCGGACCAGTACTCTTAAGATACATCTCCGACTTCACACTGGGTAATTAACTAATTGAGATATTTTATAAATTATTTAACTGTTTTCATACCCCATAATTACACGATTTCAAAATGATGAAGTTGAATTTAAGAAGGAGATGAAGGCTTTCTTTGGAGATTTATAGAAGCGATATGTATATTGCGACTGGTAGCAAGAAAGAGGGAATCTCAACGCAAGGTGATGGTGATTAGAAATAATTTTTGTTATTTGTTAAAATTTTACTGCAAATCCTTTAAATTTGTTACTTTCAGTGAGAAAGGATCGGAGAAAGCGAGCAAGCCTAAAATCTATAAATGTAGCCCGTGTGACAAAACCTTTGACACGCACAACAGTTTACAGATGCACAATGCAGTATCCCATGCTAAAACAGAGCCTATTGAGTACGATCAAGGTATGTAATGGTGCACATGGTACACATGCGCATGGTACACAATTATAGATTGTGTGGACACAATCTATAATTGCTCAACTATCTGTCACATACCAATCGTGGGAATTAATGTAAAAGCCAGCAGTTTTCCAAAACTGGCCGGCACGTTTATGAACTTGCTGGAAATCAATTGTTTTGCTAATTGCTTCCACTTTAGTGATTTCAAATGTAGTTCACCAAAAGAAACAAACTCTACACATTTCTAACTGTTAGACCCGCTTTAAGATCTCAGATGCACTATTACACTGATCCGTTAAGATATCCCATATATATTGCGTAAGCCAAGCAAAGGGGAGGGGTTTGTAAAGACTAGTGTAATTTCTACACAACAGACCTGTGTACAAAGATACAGAGGGATAGGGGTCTAACATTACAAAATCGTGGCTAATGTTATATTCGAACGATTCATTATTATCATGTTAATGTAATTAATTATTAATATTTCTCATATCATTATAATGTGTGGGTACTAGTACCAGAGTACGCATTAGCCACAGAGGAAGACTATCCCCAAGGGTAGGAGTAGTAAAGCAACTTAATATAGGGCTAAACAGCGTGTTCTTATTTTATTATTAAGATATAATTAATTGCTAATTATTACAGGACCACCACGAGTCTCTCCGCTGGAGCACCAAATGTACAGTCCTTATAAGGACCCTTATAAGGACCCTTACCCTCCACATCCCATGATGCATCACACCCTCCCTCCCATGACAGACAACTACTCCTACATGCAGGTAAACATGCAATAACATGCAATAAAATGAGGGTAAACATGCGGGTAAACATGCGGGTAAACATGTAATAACATGAAATCACGTGCGGAAATTAGAAATTCATGCCGGGTATTTGATTATGCGTGAACACTGAACATCAAATTCTTTTGAGAGTTTTCTTATATTTTATAATTATCTATCTTATTTATTATTAAGCTGGTTTTGAGTTTGACCGAAACCAGCAACTTACCAAAACAAGTTCCCCTTGAAAACAAACCAGGTTGCATATATTGAAACCTAATATTTTTTTTCTCCAGTCCCTGATGTACGACTACAGTGACAGAGAGGTGCCGTGCGGCACCCTCCCCAACGGTCAGACAGTGCCGCTTATTGGACGTAACGCTAGCATCGTCAGACCCAGACCTAAGAGAGCAGAGGGTGGAGGACCTACACCGCTGTCTCCAGACTTCATACCTCAGGTTAGATTGGGTTGGATTGTCATTGCTGCATTTTGTATAAGACTTATTCTTTTGTTCATTGTTTAATTATGTAAGGTTGGTTCAAATGTTTCAGCTTAAGTTTAACCCTTTATCTCTAACCATTATACAACTACAACTAACGAAAGTATATTTCAGAGAGATAAAATGGGAATGCTACCCCCCATGTTACCACCTCTCTCCGGACCAGACTTCTACCCTCCCTCCAGTATGAGCATGTTATCAGATTTATCAGGGGAGAAGATCCCCCCTCTAGTTCCAGTACCCCTACCTCCTCCAGGACAGTTTAACTTCCTTCCTCCCATAGCTCACCTTCACGACCCACTCTACCCAGTGTGCAGTATGGGGATGCCGATGGGAATGCCGCATTTAACGGAGGACGGGCACATGTCACATCTACCACATGACATGCCGCACCCACACATGCCACCGGGTATGATGGATATGAGACAGATGCCGCCCATACCGCCACCCGCACAGCCCCTGGGCAGCGTGTTCAAACCTTACCAGCACCTCGATATGGGGATGGGACTTGCATCTGATGAGGATGAGGACGTGAAGCCAGGTCTTAATGACATCTTTAATGTAGACCCTTCGGATTCTATTTCTAAATCTATGATATGAGGGGTTTCAGTATGTTGCTCAAGAGTTATTGATACCTGCGTGGTCTGAACTGTTTTCTGTAAGAATTAAGTATAAAGTTCAATACGATAAAGCCTTGAACGTAGCAAAGAGGGCTACTGAAATTTTTCAGACAAAAACGTTTGGACTTCTCACAATTGTCGGATCAAGCCGAATTTTTATTTAAAACGGTTTGTAAACTTTTTAATAACCATGCTTGATGCATGTGTGATTGTGATGTCATTTATTTGGTATTTGCGACGGGTTTAATTTATTGATTTCAAATCATAATTATATTTGTTTTATACATGGTTTGTAAGTCGGTATGAATCAGTTTTTATCATATCTTTATCGAAATTTGATAGATCTAAGATGACAGTTTTCTTTGATAAAACAAGTAAATAAAATTCCATGTGCACTTCTTCAATACTAAACCTTCTCGGTCATGCAGGAATGCAGAATTCCCTGGTGCCCTAGACCTACGATCACAGCTAAGTGGAGCTATGAAATGGGCAATCTCGTCACAAAAGCTGTCATTAGGGGCCAATGAATACTGAGCTTGTAAGACACAGCCTGACATACTGCGTTCTAAACTACGAAAATGTTCATTGCGTGAATTTTAGTCAATCGAAGGCAATCCATTTGGCCAGCGGGGAGTGACACGTCCGTCTATGTCCGCTTGTCTCATAGAATCCAAAAAGGACAGGACATAGGCGGACATTGGCGGACATTGTCGGACAGGAAGTGGACAGAACAATTTGTAAAATTTTGCTAAATATTGTTAAATTTGCTAATGAGGTGGATGATACTTTTTTTTTAAAGTCTAATTTTATCTGGTTCACCCTGTAGCTGTAGATCCTGTTTTAAAGGTATTTTGGGGCAAGTGAGATGTCGAAGACTATTGTACTTGGATACAAAATCAGAAATGCAATGGTGGCATTTTTATAGAAATAGCTATGGCCTTCCAGACAAACCAAACAATAATTTTGCCCATTATGATGAGGCCTGAGGGTAACATGAAACGTAAACAAAAGTGATTTCCAGGATAAAAACTGTTTAGGGCTTATTTTATTAATTTTTTAAACATTTTTATTTTTGAAGAGAGGCTGGGCCTGGATGGCAACCTTGGGGGAGGTTGCCGGAGAAATCAGAGTGTAAAGTGGAGGATGGTGTTATGAGGGGAGATGAATCAAAAATTAACGCTTACGTGCCAGCTGGGTGTGGAAAATAAAGATGAGCTAAGACAACTTGTGAGTAGTCTCTATGTCACACCGTTCTGGCGTTCTGGTCCAGTACAGCTCAATAGTGGACTGTGAAGACCGGAGATGTGTTGGTTGTTGAATATGTCATTGACAGAGAGGTAAAAGTCCTGAAAATACTGCCCTCTTATTTTAGCTTATTTGAGGAAAAAAGTATGAGACAGTCTCCTCTTCGTCGCCGCACATAAGCACATAGGACAAGCACTGGTGCTTGATTTGCGAATGGTGTGGAGGTGTTTGTTTAATTAAGCCACAGTCCCGTGATAAGGTGCACTGCAGTTCCGTAATTTTGTATGTTGTTGCTGAGTGTAGTGTTGAGATTTTTGATGATGTTGGCGTGTTTGTGGCCGAGTGTCATTTTGGTGTGTCTGGGACCATCAGTTAACCAGATTTCCTGATTCAGTTTGGTGACTTTGTCGTCGATCAGACATTTGATGTAAGATTGTGGAATTGGACACTTCAAAGTGGATTCACTGGTTGTACCAAGCTTGGCATGTTCATATGCTTTTTCGTTTCTCCACAATCTGATGTGCGCTGCAATCCATCGGATCTCAAGAATGTTAATAGATCCGAGTGCATTGAGGGTCGAGGAGTCATAACAGTCTTTAGTAGTTCTACTCCTCGTTGAAATCGAGGAGATAGCTTGTATAGAGGAGAGACTGTCAGACCATATGGTGATATGTGTGTTGGTATAGTTAGAGAGATATTTGCAAGCTTCGATGATGGCTGTGAGCTCTGTTTGATAAACAGTGCTGTGATCAGGAAGCTTGAATGATCTTTCCTCTAGAGTGGTGTTATATTGTTGTCAGTTGTGATGATATAGCCAGCCCCGCTTCCTGAGTCAGTGCGTGACCCGTCTGTGTAGCAGGTGATCGTTTCGCTGGTGATATTGTCAATGGTGTTTTGTAGTGAATCTCTATATTCAGTGTTGTCAGCTCCAGGAGTTGTGACGGTGAAGTGCACCGTCCCAGCATCATGGTTGGTATTGATAGGTTTAGGGCTTATGTAGGAGTACTTAGACTCCTACAATTTACATAACTAAACGAAAGTGAGCTTCAAACTCACCAATAGTTTAATGAATCAATAAGGATCGGTAATTATGATGTCTACACTTCATCTGGGTGGCCTAGTGGTTAGAGCTTCCGCCTTCTGTAAAGAAGGTTCAGGGTTCGAATCCCAGTGTCACTCAGTCTAGGGAGTAGCTAAGGATTCATTGGATCTATATTCTATGCGATCTCCTCGGTCGACTCAGCCGAATGATAGGAAACTTGATTGAGGGTTAAATGAGGAGGGGTGCCTGTGCCAAAAGATCAAGAATCTTAGGATACTCCTTCAGAACATCTACAATGTAGTGTATGTAAAATCCGGATTGGAGTATTATTTATGAGTCGCATTGTTGTAATGTATTCTGGGTAAAATTATCTTTATCCCGGTTGTTGCGACAAGTAAAAATGCTCTTATTAGGGAAAGGAGATTACTCGACGTTTCAATGTAACTACATCGTATTCATGATCTAAAAACAAGTGTTAAAAATTCAAAACGTAAAAAACATATATCTGAGGCAAAATTTGTGTACATTAATTTATTTTTAATCAATCAACTTTATCCAAAAATTCGATACAAAAAAAGTCATAACAAAATTCATAACAAAATTAGTTTATACGACGACGACGACGACAAACAAAGTTTGTCGTCGTATAAACTAATTTTGTTATGAATTTTGTTATGACTTTTTTTTGTATCGAATTTTTTGATAAAGTTGATTGATTAAAAATAAATCAATGTACACAAATTTTGCCTCAGATATATGTTTTTTACGTTTTGAATTTTTAACACTTGTTTTTAGATCATGAATACGATGTAGTTACATTGAAACGTCGAGTAATCTCCTTTCCCTAATAAGAGCATTTTTACTTGTCGCAACAACCGGGATAAAGATAATTTTACCCAGAATACATCACAATGTAGTGTACTGTAAAACGAGGGCGGTCGAACTATTCGATGACCCTGTAGAGGAATCTACGAACTTTACAAATTACAAATTTGATATCTCCCTCGTCTTCACCTTAAACCATTTATTCCTTCTCTCTAATCTTAATGATTAATGATTTCCATCAGAATCGTCTTCAATTTCCATCGTCGGTGGTTTTGCTTCTGTGTGGTACCATTCAGGGTATCTGTGAATACCGCATCTTAGTTGGGACATCAATGCAGAAAGAAACGTATGTATATATTTCTATCACTTTCAGAGTGACAAAAGATTTATGAAGCTCTGTGTCTTTTAAGGGTTGCTCTTACTGGTGAAGTTGATCACTGCAGGATTTAATGGAAAAGTGAACAAGCCAGTGTCATGCTTGTTAATGTTGGTTGCTCCTAACCGGATCGGCACTAACGCAAAAATAAAATACATACATTAATAAAACAATTTATTTGCATAATTATGATAAGCCGAAATTAATATCTGTAGAAAGTTGTAATTCACCACTTTTGCTCGCATCGATAATATGATACACCTATAGTTATACAATATACATAGTTCAGTCATTTTAAATTATACATTTAACCAACACGCATTAAACAGTACTTTTGACGGATCTTCTTTGATCTCACTTCGACTAAGTGATGAATCATTTTAGGTACAACTTTAATAAATACATTTTCTGGCCGACACGTCTGTCGTCATTTGAAAAATATTACGTAACTATTACGCAAACAAAGGAAAACAAGATTGCCATAATCCAGAAACCATGAAATAACGAATAAAAGTCGATAAACGGACTGCTGATTTACACGAAGTTCTACTTTCTAGATTGTTCAGATTCCCAACCATGTGAACCAACTGTTTAATCTTTAACGTAATATTTAAACGGTGGTTGCCAGTGGATCTTATTTCAATTACATCTAATCAGAGCGCCGTGGTTTAGTTTAGAAGGGTTTGATATCTTGACAGTCTTCAAAATTTTCTGCATCGCGCTGAATTAATTTCCTTTTCTAAGTTAATTTCTTTTTCTAAATCAATTTATTTTTCTAGATTGATGTTTAAACTATAATTATATCAATTTCTTGAACCATTTTGAAATTCTCAAAAATAATGAAAGTTTTTATGGTATGCAGATTCGATTGGATTGGCTAAACCAGCTGTTAAAATGTACCATTATCAATACTAATAATCACAAAATGTGTGTGTGTCTGTGTGTCTGCATATCTGTCTGTCTGTGTGTGTGGGAAATTTAGGCAATATGGCAGTGGAGCCTATTAAGTATTACTATTGGATGCGTATTACGTGATGGGCGCTCAGAATTATATTTCCTCTAATGCGATCGGTTTCAACTGAGCGAGTTTATACTTTTGTACTGTTTATAACTTTCGCACTGTTTATACTTTTGCGATTCAACTGCGATAGTAAAGTCCCGGCCGTTATAGGCACGGGTTATAAGTTATAACACTAGTATAACATATTCACTCAATTTATATGTCCCCAGTAATTTAGTTTTGAAATTAGTTTATAACTCAGTTGTCATTTGTCCATGGTATTGGTTTTGTCCTTCGGCTCTCCCCTTTTTTAGGTCAATTTGTCTGAAAGATCATTGTTATATGAGTGCAACTAAACGGACTGGTGTTCTTTCTCCCTCGCGTTCATATTTATGCACCTGCTAGTGTGAGAATGAGCTTCTTCCTAAATTGATTTTAAAGCCTACATTTGATCTTTGTGAAGTTTGTCTCAATTCGTAACCGTCTAACTCTCCGTTTACGCAGTGTTACCAAATTTTAAAATTATTAGTTTACTGTCACTGATGTACAAGCTTCCTGTATTCAAATTTGACCGACTTGTCTATATTACTTCGTTCTTAGATTCTGATCGGACGTGTTTTTACTTTTTATCCGAATAAAATCCAAGATTATCAATCGCCATCGGTCCGGAAATAGAAGTTTCACTGTTGTAGTAGTACAACTTCACGAACATACTAAAATCCTGCACTACTGCAGTACGGCGTCGCCCAATTCAAATAACTGTCCATACCAGATGTAGAATGTAGTGGGCGTGAATACATGACGTGTTCAGTGATACTTCAGCTACCGTACGTCGTACTAGACTTTTTTATATGTACAA